CTGCGAAAGGACGGTGAGATTTCCGAAAGGCCCGACCGAAACCATGACGGCGAAGGCGAAGTCCATAAGGACTCGTGCTCAACACTCCGGGCGTCTGCCGTCCAGTTCTTTGGCTTGCCCTGTGGTGTTGCTTGAGGCGGCTCTCCGGCTAAAACTGAATCGATCTCATCAAGCTTTCCGTGCATGGCGCTAACGTTGGTGTCGGGAACATCTTCACCCGCGAGGAGCTTTTGCGCCAAGTCGTTGAGCCGCTGGATCAGACCGAGAGTATCTCGAGTATTTTCAGTGTTCTCATTCGTCTTTTCAGTCCCGTGTGAATGGGTTGATGCAGTGAGATCATCCTCGGTCCATGAGCGCGCCAGGGGGCTCTTAGCCACCGGCGTCGAGAAATAACCACCAGGCGTTGAAAATTGCTGGCGAGGAGTCGGTGAGAGAGGTGAGAAACCCCGATAGCTCATCGGTGAGGGAAGAGAGGGCGTTGAAATTTGCGGTGAAGAGGCATGCGGCGTTACGGGGACCGATTTGCTGGTTTGGCTTCTGGAACGGCGCAAGCGGCCTTTGCATGGGCTGTTGTCGTCCTCATCGTCATTCAAATCGAGAAAACGTAGGCCCAGCCCCGAATCCGATCTGCCGTCCGACATTTCTGGTCATTGAAGTAAATAAGGTATTTGGACAATGTTTAATAGGGCGGCGGCCGGCCAACCGAAAAACCGGGTCTTTGGCCTCTTAGACAAAATAGTCCCCGTGTGTATGTATTCCTCTCAGAGGAAAGGTATGGGGAACGGAAAAGACGCGCGACAAGGCAAAGGACTGCCGGTTTGGGCTCGATTGCAATGCGACGAGTCGACTCTGCATGCACCGGATGAAAGCAGCACGGCGCGGCGAGCTAGTGGGAGGTAGTATTCCCGAAGACGATCCGAAAGGGCGGCTTCTGGTGCAAATGCCAAAGATTGGGGGATTTTGGGCGTCAGCTGCAGGAGAATCAGGCGCTGTTTGGTCAAAGAGGCCGACCAATTGGCGATGCGTCGAGTCTTGTCTTTGGCGCGTTCGACGCGTGAGGTGGCTTTTGGAGGCGTGGGAGGCTGGTGAAGGCTGGGCGAGGACTCGGGGGGCTTGGAGAATTGTGGCGCCTTGCATGTGACCACAGGGGTCAAGCTGGGACTGTGACAATGGGTAAACGCTGGAGACGGATTTACCTAGGGCCATTTTGCGAGAAGGGAAGGACGCGACCGGGATGTGATTGGGGAGGTGACGGCTAGAGCTGCTAGCAGTTGCTGTAGTGGAGGTGCACCTACCTTACCTTACCTTGCTTGAGATGCCTACGCAGTAGCTGCCCGCTCTGCCATAGGTGCTTCACAACCTTCTCACCTTACGTCAGCATTTACCTCAAGGCTCAGTGTGGGGGCAGCAAGCAAGCCTAGGCACGGGCAAAGCTCTCTCGGCTACGAGGAAGGGCGGACGCTGAACCAAAGCCCCTCCGCCGCGGTTGACCGTCGTCGCGTGCTGTAGAGTTGGAGAAGGAAATTGATAGTGACGGAAGTACACATCACCTGCCACGATCCGTTCCTTTCCGCCGTCCGTCACTCCGTCACATGCCCGATATATAATCGTGACTCTTCATTGCCCGGCATTCAATCTTACGTTGGTAGTAGTAGGTATGCGTGCTAGCTATTCGATTTTGATTTTTCTTTTTTTGTTTGGTCAGGGCGATTTGATGGTTCGGTCCCTCTTCCTTTTTTTTTCCTTTTTTGGAGCTGTTTATCTTGAGCGTCTTCTTGGATGACAGAGCAAAACTGCTCACTATCTGCGCTATACCCAATGTTTATTCTGGAGATGCTACACGGCATCCATCCAGCCTGTGTCTCTACTAGGGTACTGTAAGAGAGCTGTAGGTATGTGTGCCCACGCTGTAGAGTTGGCAGCGCACAAAGACTATTGCCGTGATACCGTCGAATGAATACCCCAAATCACCATCTTTACCTGGCTGATAGCTGTTCGAATAAAGAACCTGAACATACACACTCGCACCTCGGGCTAAACAATTGCGAACCGTCGTTACGGCCAGAACCGGCGGGAAACTCGCTTGAAGCGCACCTCTACGGTCGGCTATGTAAGCCGGGTCGAGGTACTTATCGTGCTATCATCGAACCATGGGCCTAGGCAGTATGACGCCGAGTCGGGGCAAGTACCTGCGTACCATTGCCGTCCGCCCAGAACATCAGGAACTCTCCACTGAGGAGCCCTGGCCCGGCCTTGTTCCTGTCGTCCCCGGCAATCCCAAGCTCTCACCTTCTTGAGGTCCCAGTTCCTACTCCGTCTCCATTACCAGAAATAAACCTACACGAAACACCTCCCGTACGCTGCACGCGACCTCTCCTTACTCCCATTGACTATGCGGCAGTAGATCTGGCTTGAATTTTCAACCTCGTCTCCTAATCCCTCGACCTCTCTTCCTCCGCATTTCGCCCGCTCGTGTCTGTTCCATGTTGCCCTGCGTCATACAGCCTCGGTAAAGGCCGCCCCAACTCGGTCACGCGGGGTTCGATTCGAATACCTCATTTCAACAGTAGATCGCCAATTCCGAGCCGCCCAACATGTCGTGGAGGAAGACGGATAGGTTGATGGATACCATCAGGCATTACGCCAGTTTCCCGGCAACTGGTGTGAGCTTGAGGCAGATGGTCCAATTTGGAGAGAAGCCCTCAGTCGGTTCGTCAACCCTTGGCAACTCCCCTCCGTGTCCCAACGGCTTGCATTTACCTCTCTTCTGCTCCGTTGCTTGCTTAGCTTGTATGCGATAGCAATGCGCCGATTCCTAATTGACTAGCCTTTCGTGCAAGGTGCCATGTTGCTGACTGTTCATTGTGCTTCCAGGAACCCTCTTTCGTGCCTCACAATTCCTTGCCGAGGAGCTACCAATCCGCCTTGCCCATCGCGTACAAGAGCTCGACGAACTTCCAGATGGCCTCAACGACATGCCCTCCGTGAAGCGAGTGCAGGACTGGTACGCACAGTCATTTGAGGTACGTCAAGGCTCTTCTGTCGCATAATGCATGAAGGACATGACTCACTGACACTTATCCGTCTGCGCAGGAACTCACACAACTTCCCCGACCTGACTTGGATAAATCAACAAAAGAAAGACTCTTGAGGCCCGCCAAATCGTACGGGAAAGGTCCAATGCTCTCTGAGGCGACCCGAAACCCAAGCATCGAGGAAGGCCAATATGCGTCTCTGCCGCAGTCCAATGGAAACGGCTGGAGCAAGCAGAAGAACGTCGCCGCACGGAGATATTTTGCAATGGTAGATGACATCGGCGATTGGCCGCCTGAGCTGCGATTGTACAACGAGCGCTTCGCCAAAGCCCTGCATGGCATCAAGAGGCGTCACGACGGAGTTGTTACCACCATGGCACAGGGCATCCTGGAGTACAAGCGCAAAAGACAGCGCATGCAGATTGATAACAACATCCAGTCATTCCTCGATCGGTTTTACATGTCGCGCATAGGAATCCGCATGCTCATCGGTCAGCACATTGCCTTGACCGACCAGAGCCACCACCGCGATCCCACCTATGTCGGCATCATCTGTACCAAGACCAATGTTCAGGATCTCGCGCAAGAAGCCATTGAGAATGCGCGCTTTGTCTGTGAGGACCACTATGGACTTTTCGAAGCACCCAAGATTCAACTCGTCTGCAACCCTAACCTGAACTTCATGTACGTTCCAGGGCATCTGTCGCATATGCTCTTTGAGACTCTGAAAAACTCTCTTCGCGCCGTTGTCGAAACACACGGCCAGGATAAGCAGGAATTCCCCGTGACCAAGGTCATTGTTGCCGAGGGTAAAGAGGATATCACCATCAAGATCTCGGACGAGGGCGGTGGTATTCCCCGAAGCTCTATACCTCTTGTTTGGACATATATGTATACCACTGTGGATCGCACACCGAATCTGGACCCGGATTTTGATAAGAACGACTTCAAGGCTCCTATGGCCGGCTTTGGGTACGGATTGCCTATTTCACGACTTTACGCGCGATACTTCGGCGGAGACTTGAAACTTATCAGCATGGAAGGGTGAGTTGCGCGCTGTGCCAAGGAACATTTCACGCAACCCCAAGCTAACCCCTAATGTAGATATGGCACGGATGTTTATTTGCATCTCAATCGTCTGTCCAGCTCGTCGGAACCTCTCCAATAGGGACCAGCAGTCATGAGGGACAGGAACGCTCGAGGATTGACGCTAGGGTTGAGGTATACACTGCACAAGAGGCTTAAGGATCGCGAGATCACGGAGCGTCGGCAGGTTGGAGACGCTCAGGAGATGATGAATCGGGGCGATACCGATCCTGGGTATTTCAAGCAAGACAACGACTTGTGATTCGCCTGTCTTGCAACAGGCCATTAATCGCTCCTCAACGTTCGGCGATCGAGACCAAGTCGGATAGCCGAGCCCTCCGTTACTTAAGCCACAGCGGCAAGGCGAAGGACGTCGGGGCTTCTACAGTCAGGTCGACGACACCTTGAGGGCGGGAGTACTATAAGCCAGCATCATGTTGGAATCTGGGATAGGATCATCTCTGCGCCGGTTGCGGCACGCGGGGAGGACACATCGTTTTTTGTTCTCTTTCTTTTGGGTATGGTTTGGGGGCATTTTCAAAAAGAATCACCCCGGCTGGATAGGAGCACGGGATCACACACACACACACATTGGACAGGCCGCATCGGCAATGAGACTGGATGGCGGTGGGCGTCTCGGGTTTCTTTTTTGGCTACATGTTTCTCTCGTTACACAGTTGAAATACACATGGTTGCATAGGGAACGTTTTGATTTGCAAAGTGAACTGACTATTAACGAGGTTGCGGTTACCTGACTAGCGAGGTACCTAAAGGAGCAAAACCTTTTCGTGCTTTCCTTGCCATGATCCTATCCGTTCCGAACCCCCACCGTCCTATCATTGAGAAGTCGTACAGTCGGAGAGAAGAAATCATGATCCCGCTCCCGACGCTTGTTCCAAGTATGTAAGGAAGCTCGTCGAAATGTTTCCATGGCGGCTGAATGAAACCACCGCTACCAAATAGAGTTATCTGGTGCCCAGATGACGCGTGGACCAACGAGGTTCCTACTCGTCGTCACTGTCGACATCGCCGTTGCCGTAAGGAATGGGGTTGAAGAGTGTCTGGGGCTGAGGCTTGCCTCTCTGGAGCGCGCGGTGCTCCTCCTTCGTGAGCTGCTTTCTATCGCGCTGACGATTCTCGAGGGTGTGTTAGTCGGATACCGAAAAATTGGAAAGTGATCCATGAACTTACACCGGGCCAGGGACCGCTAGGAGCAACGCTAGAAGTAGCGACAACAGTAGAATTGGTTCCGTTCTCGGGGCGACCTCCCTCGTAGGTATAGCGACTCTCAATGATGGAAGAGCCACTGGACTGCGTACTGGGGACCTTGGTCTTGATGTGCTTCTTACCAGCCGAGTCGTAGGCATTGAAGTTAACATCAAGGAAGGTGTTGTGAAAGTCGTAGTCACGACCTGTCTCAGTGGTACTTGCAATAGCCGAGGTAGCAGCAGAGGCAATACTCTCGCTGCCCGGGCCGGAGGCGATGGCATCGTAGCTAGCATGGCCGTTATCACGAGCCCCAAGGCCGATCGGGCCGGCAACATAAGGCTGGCGAGTCTCAATGCCCAGAGACTCAATGCGAGTTAAGAGGTCACTCTCGGTAGTGAGGCCGTTGGTTCCAGTGATGGGAGCGAGGGGCTGCGAGGGCACATTAGTCTTGTTCAAGTTGGCATTTCGTGTTCTTTCTTACCCGATCAACCTCGCTACGGAAGTCAAAGATCTCGGAGGGATCAGTAGGGAGGTGACTCGCGTAGTCGTCCGAGTTCTCCAGGGGGTCCAGTTGAGTATTAGGACCGGCCCACGGAGTATAGCCGGGCTCCTGGGTGTTGATCCAGTGCTGGCAAGACTTGCAGATCTGTAGACGAGATGTGGGCGGAAGTGACAATTGCATGTGACTTGGGTACTCACGTTGACGCCATTGGTTCTGTTGTTCTTGGAGAACTGGTCCAAGGTCTTGATCTCGTCACAGGGACCTTCACATCGGATCTCATTGACGGGCTCGCCCGAGTGGATGCGGCAGACCATGCCAGTGTTGGCACGGTTGACTTTGGCGTGTCGATCAAGCTTATCTTGAACAAGCTTCTGCTGCTTCTTGGAGAAGCCAGACATCGGCTTCCACTCACCGCCAATCTTGCAGCGATAACTATAAGAAAATGTCAGCGTGATCAGAGACTAGTCGCATCGGCACCATTCTTGTATATCGCAACTTACTTCTCAGCCATGTTCTGGCCAAGCTTCTCACCAAGGTCCTGGGAACTAAGAAAAATATTTGTTAGTGCTGTTGGCCACAGTGAGAAAATAATACTGTATTTTACTTACCCGCTAGGACGAGAAGAATAGTAAGACGACATGGCTATGATCTTGGTGTGTGTTGGGAATTGTGTTTGTAGAAGATGACCAAATGTTTTTGGCGCGAAGAGTGGGAAGTAGAATGAAGGTTTTCTTGACTGGAAGGTACAAGTAACAAGTAGCGATGCGGATGCTAGTGTTGGCGGATCTGATGAGTTCTAGGGAAGAATTGATGAAAGATGTGTGTTGAGAAAAGGATTTTATGATGTCGGTGGGAATTTCCGGGGGGCTGAGTGTGTGAGTGACTGAAGCGGGACAACTGGAGGGTTGGAGAGAAAGAGGACTCAGAATAACGGCCGGCCTTTTAGGCAGCCAAGAGCGTCTGGAGAAGGCGCGTTTGTTATTCCTCGTCGTTCCTACCGTTCTCAAGGCAGAAACAAAGGGACGACGGGAGGAAAGAACGATGGCCCGGTAGGGGACCTGGTCAGCCACTCAGCTTGAGACTGAAGCATCGAGTAATTCATTCGGTTGATCAACTTCTCTAGGCACATCACATCGTAACTGCACATTAGGATGAACTCATCTTTGGTGTTTTGCACTTACTCAGTACTCCGTGACTTTCTTCCTCCCTTATGCGCATTCGCTAGACAGCCAGCATTAATGTCAAAGATCACCTAAGTATATATGTGAAGTTCGATTTGGTACCTTGGCCCATACATCTAGCGAGCAACCTACTGCATTTTGATTTTGAACAAGATATCTGCCTTCGATTGCGACTTCTCAATAAGTAGCTACCTGTCTGGCATGTCGGTGAGCTCACGTGATTTTTAGGCTCAGGAGAACCCGCAAGCAGGATACTCCTACTACTTGCCATTTAAGAGGGTACTGATGAGCCCCCGAGGCATGAACATTTACCTCTGAAAGAGCTCAAGTCAGCAAGGTTTCCCCCAAAGCGAAGAACGTTGCTACATATTGAGAAGGAATCTCGAAAAGCTGGCCTAGTGGCTCTCTCAAAACGCAGTCTTGCTATTGCCACCATCTTCTTCTGTCAACATTCACTGTCGTTCTCAGTCTACTGCTCAACGGCTTTCTCACTTCCAGAACCGTATACTACCACATCAACATAAGGAGAGGAGCTTATGAAGGAGCTACTTCGAGGCTGAATAGTGCGCATTCAGAGCCAAGCCGAAGCAGGTGCGTAAAATTCCCTTCCAATATAATGAAACTTCTTTGAATAGACAAGCACATACGACCACACCCATCAGAAAATTCGGGATCCCGTCCGCTCTCCCATAGACAAGCTGATGAGGGCCAGATTAGTAGTTGAGTCGGTGACGATCAGCGAATACCTGGTGTTGTATGTTTTTTTTTTCTCAAAATTGACCGGCCACGACCGTTGCAGTTTCGCGGTCTTCTTCCATGTCGTCAGCCGCCACCCGGAGCCACCTCCGAAAAGGAAAAAAAAAAAACCATACCGGCGCTGTGGAACCCCGGCAGTCAGACGCATAAAGCTTGTACACTTCCAGCTCTCACAAAAAACGGCTTATGCACTCACTTCACATGGGTCGGTCTTCTTCACATGGAGAACGTTCCGTTCGGCACGATACTCTGTTGTCCGGTGGACGGCAGTGGATGCCCTCATCTCCATTCGGAAATGTACACCGCTGCATCCGCCGTCTTACTCAACGTGGGGTTCCATTCGGTCGGTCTTCCATTGTCCAAGGGGTCCTGAAGGAAGAAAAGAGAAGAAAAATCCCACAGCTTCCAGAAGCGGAATCGAATCTCCACGCCTGGCAGGGCGCTAGTTTTTGCAGGGCATAGAGCTACTGCAACAGCGGCCTCTACTTCTCAGTTCAGGGCCTGTCTCAACGAAATTTCGAAGCGAGGCGAGCGCGGGGACTTTTTTTTTTTTAAGCGTTCACGAGATGGACGAAAGAGGGAGGGGGTGTTGGAATACGATACCTACGTTCTGCTCATCTCGCGTGAAGCTTTCCAAGGGTCCAATGGGTGGCGGTACACTAAAACGAAACAGCCTTTTTGAACCACGGTAGAGGGATCGTCGAGGATTCCAATACATCTGCGTCGTTGCCACGGGCACCTTTCATATCGCGGCATCCGGACTAGGAAAAAGAGCTTCTGCCCGGCCACGCGGCGGCTCCGGATCGGCGGTTTCCCAACTTCGTGGGACGAGATGAACCGGATGCTTCCCAAACACCCGCGGCGGCCCTCCCCTCCCAGTCCCACCCTGAATCCCACCAGCATCCTTCCAATGTCTGGGTGTGTGTCTTTCAAGGGTGGTGGTTGGTCCAGTTGCAACAGCAGTAATTAACGGAACCGTGCAAAAAGAGAATGGGAAAATTTCCGTTGCCCAGAGATGAGGGTGATGAGGGATGGAGCGATCTGTAACCACCTCGCAGAACCCCCGGAGGATGCCTATGCAACAACGGAGATGTACAAGTACAGCGTCAGAACTCTAGGTCCGCACAGATGCATCGGCAGCACGACATCGTGATCTCCGCGCCCACCCCGAGTCAGCACAAGGATGAGCGAAGCGCGTGGCTTTCTGGGAAAGAGATGTCCATACGGAGTATATCCACCGATCACGAGATCATGTTCTGATCAGTCACAAGATGTTGCAAGACCCCCCGAAATTGGCACAATGCCATTGTCTCTACGAGTCTCGTGTAGAAGCCAAGAACTAGCGAAACGAGAGTGCCCGGCTTATAGCACTCCATTCGCTGGATGAAGAGTTAGAGACGGGATCGCTAAACCATCCTCCGTAATATGAGGTCCAGCGGCAACATAGTAGGTGAGAAGCATCCTGGCATAAGGTAGGCTATCAGACAAAGAGGGACAGAGTACGGATAGCCCTAGAGGAGTTATTCGCTTCGCTTCGCAACCACGGATGAACTTGAGACGACATGGGGCCCGGGCAAGGGAACCCGCGGCCCAAAGCTTCTGGAAGAAGTCTGTTGCGCGTCGCATGGCATGCGTATCCGTACGGATAATGCAGTGCAGCAGGCCCGGAGGCCGGAGGTCTGCCTTGCCCTTTTCCACGAGACAATTCGCACGTCCCTCCCCTCTCCCCTCGATCCTCATGGATGGGACAGAGGGGATTCAGGTTAAGGGGGGATGGTTAGTGGAAACACGGGCGACAGATTGTATCACGACGAAAATCCCACGAGGGGTCCCTGAAAATGGGCCAATGCTCTGTTCTTTTCGAGGAAGCGGGAAACCAATCCTAAATCCCACCAACCCCTTGTCTGGCAATATTCGAGGGCACATTAATGGCCCCCAAGTAAAATCATCGACAACGAACTCGGAACAAGAAACACTCTATGCGGAGCCAAAGCCCCGCGCTTGTGCATGTGCTTTGTGCAACTGCAGAAAAGAGGGCGGGAGGGGGCATCATCCGTCGTCCATCATCTCTACTTCCATGCCTCGAAGTTGGCCATGGTAATGCGGCCATGCGGTGCTTTCCCAAGCCCAGCTGAGCATGGTTGTCGGTTCGAATACCTTTCTACTAAGAGACGCTGTGCCCCCAATTCAGATTGGTTCGAATCTTTGGGGGCGTAAAGTGTCTTAGACAGGAAGGCGGAAACCCGGCCAAACCTTGGCCAAATTCATGCCCGTCAGCAAAAACGTCGGTGACATTGCAGCCGCACGGCTTGCATTTTGCATGGCATGGGCCCAACCAATCCGCCAGAGCATAGGTATCGACTATTGGCATTGCCCATTTGGCGGGGTATGTTGGCCAAAATGCCAAAACGCAGCCCGTCCCAAGAGACCGGCGGACGGCGCGGCCTTTGCATTCCTTGGGATTCTGCCTGTTCCCCCTCTTCCAAGGGTCCGACCCTGAAGAGAGGCATAAAGCTGTGCAGCACTGAGCGTCATAATGACCGGCGATTGAAGGTGACCATGTCCATGCTCTTCTTGCCAGGCCGAAGCAAACATGCGAATCCACCGCGAGATGATCACCCTCCTTCGTCTTCCTGCCTGCCTGATGGATTCAGTGGTGTGAACTTGTGAAGTATCTGTCAGGCTGAAAGACACCCTGAGGCAAAAGGCAAAAGGGTGCATCTAGCAGGCGAGAAAGGGGTCGTGGAGTCCGTCCGATGGGGAGGGCGCCATAGTGGAGAGATTGTCTTACCTTAGTCAACGTGTTGAAGATGTTGCCGCGGCGGCGGCGGCGGCGATGGCACCAACGGAGAGGGGAAAGCCAGTGAAACCCGTTCACTAGGTCAATGACTTACTCATACAGGCGCTCATCTTTCTGGCAACTTCGCCCATTGAGATTTACTTCATCTCACAATGCAGCCAGTGGGCAGGCGGGTTCTCTCGCCCAGCAAAGTTTTGGGCTTGGATGGGATTATTGCGTCTGGGCTGGCACGGACACTCATTATTGGGAAACTTGGGCAAAAGGGCGATATTCCCCACTAGCTGTCATTCCAAATGGACGCCGGTCGTCGAACCGCGGATGTGCCGGTTGGTCGTCCGGGTCCCATGTCTTTGCAAAGTTCGAACCAGGTCCCCTGGCCATGTACCTCTTTTTCTTCATCGTCTTTTCTCTTCACGAAGAAGTTCACTGTGAGAGTTTCTTTCCCCATCTTTTTTCTACTAGGGAATCAAGGGTCCTTGGTGGGAAAAGATACAGGCACTGGGATGAGGGTTGGGATATGAGTCGTGACAGGCTCTGTGCGGAAAGGCTACCTACAGGCTGCAGTACCTGGAGGCTGGGAACCAGTCAGTCCGGCTTGTAACCTGACCACCACCTGTGGGAACGGGAAGAAGGGAAGGGGGGAAACGCGACGGTGGATCGTTTCACGGAATTTCTTCACCGTCTGGCGCGGATGGAGAGAACTGACCGGTCGATGGAACCCTCGGGCTCGGGCCTACGAATACCTTAGTGTAAATGACACAAATTGGAGCGACGTTGACTGTGATGATGTACAAGTATGAAGCGCATGCACTTAACCGGGGTTGACCATCCTGGCCCATATTTATGCAGAGGTTCTGGGTATCTCCTAAGATTACTCATGCTACTACCGGGTACACTCCAACGACGACTGATGCCCACCAAGCAATTGTTTGAATGGATGATTAATTCTTGTGAACCATCTATGTGCAGGACGTTCGAAAAGAACCCTATGTACGGACGACCATACATACCTCTCTCTCTAACCAGCCGAGTACCAATCCAAGTACCCAACTCCAAGCCTGAGTAATAAACCTCAGAGATGAATGCAATGTAGTTCCAAAATACCAATCCCTCCCCAACGCCTCTCTTGAATTTTTGATTTTCTGTATACCCCATTTCCGGCCTTTCTCTGAATAGTTGCGTGAGCATCTTTGGATCGTCTAGTTTC